ACGATACAGAACTGATGGCCAATGCAGGAGACATCAAAGATGTGGGTTCGATCCCTGGGTTGGGATGATCTCCTGGAGTAGGAAATGGCAACCTACTCCAGTCTTCTTTCCTGGAGAATCTGGTGGACAGAGGAGCCGGACGGGCTACAGTCCAGAGGGCCACACAAGTTGGACATGACTGAAGCAACTTGGCATGCACATACCTTGCTGTGCTACACCTGCCCTGAGCTTTCCAGACTAGGAGTCACATGCAGAACAGCAATGAAAACTGACAACTCACATATCACTCGACCTCACCATGATCAAGGTGCCCATGACTTGAGTGCTCATGTGGTCCATTGCCAGGGACCCACTATCTGGATCTTGCCCCCAGATCCTGGTAGGTTCAAGACACCAGCCACAAAGAGGAGCTCAAGACGTGCAAGAGTTGCTGGAGAACAGCACTCGCCATTGCCCCTCCCTGGGTAAAGCCAACCTCCTAATGGCGTGTCAGCAGCATTTCCTCTTACTCAGAAGTCTGCCACAAGAAAAGCACATCCTCTCTAAGCTTCATTGTCCTTATCTGTCCAGACAGGCAGACATCTACTTATAAAGATTGCAGATAGGGGAGGTCAGCCCTTACCAAGTACATGTGTACAGTTTCTGTACAATAAATAGCAGCCATTAAGAAAGACAGCCCTCGGACTGCAAGGAGATCCAACCAGTCCATCCTAAAGGAGATCAGTCCTGAATATTCATTGGAAGGCCTGAGGCTGAAGCTGAAACTCCAATACTTTGGCCACCTGATGCAAAGAACTGACTCATTGGAAAAGACCCTGATGCTGGGAAAGATTGAAGGCGGGAGGAAAGGGGGATGACAGAGGATGAGATGGTTGGATGGCATCACCAACTGGATGGACATGAGTTTGAGCAAGCTCTAGGAGCTGGTGATGGACAGGGAAGCCTGGTGTGCTGCAGTCCACGAGGTCACAAAGAGTTGGACACAACTGAGTGACTGAACTTGACAAATACACACTACTATATATAAAAGAGACAAACAATAAGGACCTACTGAATATCACAGGGAACTATATAACTTGTGCTAACCTATAACGCAAAAGAACCTGAAAAGGAATACACACACACACACACACATATGGGCTTCCCTGATGGCTCAGAGGGTAAAGAATCCACCTGCAATGGAGGAGATCCTGGTTCAATCCCTGGGGTCGGGAAGATTCCCTGGAGGAGGAAATCCAGTATTTGCCTGGGAAATCCCTTGGACAGAAGAGCTTGGTGGGCTACAGTCCAAAGTGTTGCAAAGAGTCCAACAGAACTGAGCAACCAAGCAGGAGCATGTAACTGAATCACTTTGCTGCATACCTGAAATGAACGCAAAATTGTAAATCAACTGTACTTCAAAAAAATAAATAATACATAGCAGCCATTTTTAACCTTTTCTCTTCTGTATCATCATTAATAATGTTCTTAAGCTTTGTGACATTTTCACTGGGCATCTTTCTGAATTTACCACCTGGCAGAGACTAGTGAGGAGGCACCAGGTCATAATTTTGATCACTGCACAGACCACATGGAGGCAGATGTGCTTGAGAAAAGCCCACAAGTAAAAGATGATCTAGGAAACGTGAATGATTGCTAACAAAAGCAGTTTGGCAAGGGTATGAATGACTCAGGGCAAGCTTGTTTCCATTTCTACAAAAACAACTCAAGCCCCTTTGTCTTACTGAGTCTGTCGTGCAACTGCTCGGAGTTACTGCTCATTATGGACGTGGTACCAACAGGGGCTTCTACCCTGAGTCAGCACCTGCTCCAGCGACTCATCCAGGTACTAAAAATGCAGGCCCCCAAGCCGACTCTCCAGAGCCCTTGGTTCAGAATCATTGCCAGAGGGGCTTCCTGGAGGAGAAAGACTTCAAGTAGGAACACACCCACAGGAATGACACCCAAGGATGCATCCAGCCAGGGAGGGGATTCCAGGGGCGAACAGGGGCAGCCGCATGGGCTCCCACGTGTGCTGGACATGTCCCAGCCTGACTTGCCGCCCAGCCTTCACGCTGCTCAGGAACAGACAGTGAGCCTTTGCCCAGCCTCTGGTGTAGTCCAGAAATTTCCCCTTAACAAGGTGTGCTACTTTCAGATACTGGTACTGAGTCATCAAACTGACACAACCACCACACTTTCTCATTTTTCACATTCATAAGACCTAGGGGTATCATGACCAATAATCTCCTGAAACTGCATTTTCTACAAACTTGGACATACCTCTGATCATGTCCAGACCAACACCTGCTGGAATAGGTCCTCGTCCATGGAGTCCTGGCCAGGGTTAGCAGTTTACCAGTGTTCAGATCCAGTTTTTTCAGGACTCTCCTCAAGCTCACCATTCCAAACTGTCTGAAGACCTAGAAACTCACAAGAAGTTAGCCCAGCTATTCCAATATGAATCCACTAAGTAACTGAGAACTCAGGAAAATATATTAGCTAATGGTTTCCACTTGGTCTAAAACAGAAATAGGTCAATTATATTTTTCCCCCTCTCTCTCTCATTCTCTCTCTGTTTAAACAAGAAAATTCCAAATCACACACCAAGAGCTCGGTTAAGATCAATGATTTAGCCAAACAATGCAAGAGTAAAATAATAGCTAAGCTGTCTGCCAAGTCCACAGACTTGATTCCAAGCCTTTCACTTATGCTAACTCATTTGATCTTCACAACAACCCTACAAAGAAGCTGACACTATTATTATCCCCAATTGCCAACTGAGGAAACCAAGACACAGAGACATTGCAGTCACACAACTCACAACTGGCAAGGAGTGAATTCCAACCCAGACTACCCAGCTCCTGAATGCACACTCCTGAACACAGATGTTCAAGAACTGGAACCAAGCATCTTTGGATGCTGAGATGAAAACAAGAGTTTTAATGGAAGAGGATTTTGAGAAGCATAACAGTCACTAGACAAATTTTAAACAATCTGTCAAAAGCTGCAACCCTTTCTAAGGCAGCAGCACCCAACCATACCCACACATCAGCTGTCACGCACCAAGGGCATTCCATCTTTCTTCCATTCAATATGGCGCTCCAAGGTGCCCAACCTCAGGATGCCTGGTATGATAACAAATCATAATACTGAGTAATCAGGCTATAGCAGAGCGAAGAAGGCTGCTTCCTCCACCGGGACCACAGAAGGCAATGACTCTGTCTTTTTAGGGTCATTTGCGGGTAAGGCCCCCAAGAGCCCAGCACCACCTTCCAAGACACATCTGGCCAGTGGAAGCCAAGCAGAATCAGGCCAAAGCACACAAAAGAGGACCCACTGATGGGGTTCTGGGTGCGGCTACCCCTCACCTTGCCTCCACCAATTCCAAGACTGGAAGTCACCCCGAGGGAGCTAAGCGTGGAGTCAACTGCCCCCCAGTGAAACCTCATTCACATAGACTCAGGAAAGGCTCAGCCGCGCCACCACCTCCAGGCTGGAAACACAGAAAGACAGGCCACCAGGACAGACCTGGAGCGGACGCACCCAGAATCAAGCAGATGCGTCCACGGAAAGCCAGGGAGCTGGGAGCACCCTAATCAGGGTAGAAACTTCCCCCAGTCTGATCACCAGCACCAGTTTATCATTCTTACTGAACACCAAAAACCTTGTCTTCACCTAAGACACGTGAGAAACCCTTCAACAGAAAAAGTTTCTTTTTCCATCTTGACCCAGATACTAAATGAGGCCTAATTGACAGAGCTCCACAGAAGGCCCCCTTCAGGGGGCCTTGGCCAGGGCGGTGAGAGGCTAACTCACAAAGACCAGCTTGGAGCTAAAAGTCAGAGGGCAACTGACTAACAAGTATTCAGACAACAGTGGTGGGCTTAGGAGGACACAGGATATTTTTCCTGAGTTCTTTAAAACTAGGTCAGGTTCTTCCTGCCCAGAACCATGGCCGGGGGATGGAATCTTGACATCTTGAGGGTCACTCTGGGCCTAGCGCCCCTCCCCGTATCAGAGTCTCTGACCTAGGGTAGAATGGGACCACCATCCACTTCATCCCCCTTCCCCTGGTCTCTTCCGCCCAGCGCTCAGAAACAGAAGGGACTTGGGAAAAAAAAAAAAACTTTCCCAGAGCACAGCACACAATCAGCAAAAAAGAATAGGGTTCAAAGGTTTCTGGGCAGGAAATGTCAAAGAATGAGGTATCTTGATGAAGGCAACCAAAAAAAATGAAAGCAGTCTGGTCTCTGAAACTCAACCGCCCAGCTCCCCCAGAAGCCCTTCAAAGGCTCCTAGAGCACTGGAGCTTGCAGCCCCATCTCTGGGGTGCCCCTTCCACCAGCACCCACCCCCCACTCCCGGGGATCTGTACCCTCACTCACAACGAAAGCAAAGAGGGGGAAGGGCGCACAGAGAAAGCTAGCTTTGTCAGTGAAGTAGCAGATCTTTGAGATTCCCTGTTCTTCCAACACCAGTGGACTCTGGAAGGCCCTTAGGCTTCCTAGAGGAAGCTTCAACCACGCAGTTCACCAGCCCCAGCTCAGGGCTGTCAGCCCAGGCTGTGCCGTGGATCGTGGGCTATTTGGTAACTTATTTTGAGATGAGCAAGGTGACCGCAGGCGCCAGGTGGCCATGACGGCCCTTGAAAACCTGCATCACAGCAGCCGCCCTGCGGACTTCTCAGACACGCCGGGAATCAGGCAGAGGGCGCACCTGGCTGCCTGGAAGGACTGCAGGTCCCTGGCCAGGCCCGGTGGCAGCTTCGCTGACCACGAGCACGGGGACACTGGCCTCCCGGTCCCCCCAGAGAGGAAACTGGCGACCCGAGGAGGACAGCGAGGTATCCAGGAATTCAGTCCCTCTGGGCCCTTTGGGGCGGGCGCCGCGGGACCCACAGAGGGCTTAGCCCAGGGTCACCAGCGTCACCTGCCCGGTTGGCGGAGGTGCTCCTCCCCGCTCTTCTGGGGGGGGTTGGGCGAATCTAGGAGGCGGCGCAGGGGCGCAGGACGCAGGGGATGGGGTGCGGGGGAACGGGGCCGCGGGCGGGGCGACGGCAGCGGCGCCCGTCTGCAGGCTGCACCCACCCCCGCGCCCGCGGCACCTGCGCGCCCTCCCTACCCGCGGTTCTATCTCCCCCCAAGCCCGGGTGCCGCCCGCGGCGCGGGGCTCTGCCTCCCCCGCCCGGGCGCCGGGCCCCCGCAGGCGGGCGGCGGCTGCTGCTGCCGCTGGATTCCCAGCCCGGATGCAGGGAGCGGGACGAGGTGGCGGATGCTCAGCTCGCCGTGCAGCTCGAACGTTCTCAAGCTCCTCTCTTCTTTACTAACTTTACTGAACGTGTGTGTGCGCGCGCGCAGCCCTTGCAAAAAGTACCGTCGAGAAATGACTAGGGTTTCATTGATATATTTAATTGTATTAAATCAGTAACTGAAAACAAGGACAATCATACATCCCAAGCCAGGTTTCCGTGACCTTCTTCCCAAGGGCGGGTAAATCCATCATGTGAAAAAAAAGGGAACGTCAGAGCCTTGTATTCAGGGAACTGGAGAAGGGGCTGCAAACAGAATCTTCCCACAGGAACAAGCTCCTTCGTCAGCTGGGGGTGTGGATAAACAGGAAACTAGTGAGAGCATTCTTAAAAGGTTAGATAAGAAAAGCAGGTGCAGCCTACCTGGTATCTACCCACTCTTGGCTTTTACCGAATAGAAATATTTGTCTTTTATTACTGGACTGGGCTTCCCTGGTGGCTCAGATGATAAAGAACCTGCCTGCAATGCAGGAGATCCAACCTCGATCCCTGGGTTGGGAAGAGCCCCTGGAGAAGGAGATGGCAACCCACTCCAGTATTCTTGCCTGGAGAATCCATGGACGGAGGGGTGTCTGGTGAGCTACAGTGTATGGGATCACAGAGTCGGCCACGATTGAGTGACTAACACACACTTGCACACATACACACAGGACTTATTTAGGATCTCACTGGATTCCCCGGGACTTTTCCACAGGTAGATTTTTTGTTGCTGTTACCTTCCTTGTCGATACAAGCAGGCAGATGTAATTCTGTTTAAAATCTGTGAATGACTCTAACCCCCACCCCCCTCCCACGGTCTACGTTCTAACAAGCAAAGTCAATTTTCCTGGTGTTAAATAACATTGAATATTAATTGCATAGTTAACTTAAAAATCAAGTGCTGGGGTATACCACAGGAAAATCCCTTGCATTTTCTGTCTGGTTTCTATATTATTTCTTTTTTTATTTTACTTTAATTGGAAGCTAATTATTTTACAATATTGTGGTGGTTTTTGCCATACATTGACATGAATCAGCCATGGGGTACATATGCTCCCCATCCTTACCCTCCCTTCCACCTCCCTTCCATCTATATTATTTCTTGAAATCCCAGGGATCCTAGTCCCATGGCTGCAATATTTATTTGCTTTTCAAATTTTAGTGTCTTACTTGAAAATCCTAATTTCCAACAGAGGGAATGAAGGCATTTTCAAGTGACATGCAAGCCGATGGATGCAATAGGAGACGAAGAATTGCCTCCTTTCTGCAGAATTGGATTTGTTGTTGCTCCTGGTGGGAGCTGGGTGCCCGGTCGGGCTGAAGACTGACATGCTATTTATCTACCTGTCTGCACCTGTGGTGTCCTTGGTTCGTTTTGTGTTTATGACACATTTCATACTGCCATGAGGATGATCACCTTGCTCACCCCATCACTAGGGTTCATGGTGAAGGGAGAAAGGATGTGAATCCGTGCTCATGCTCACACCAACGCGCAGCTGAAAGCAGACGGCAGAGCACCCTGCGCCCCACACCCTGCAGGCCTGTCAGCTCTGCTCCAGGGCCAGCCTGTGACCAGACCTGCTTCCGGAAGTTGGCATAACAGAGTCCTGAGTTTAAACTGATGTCAGCATTCCAACCCAAGCCTGCAGGAGTTGGGGGCCTTAAATCCCACCCACCTCTCCCCACCCTTTCTGCACTGAGCCACAGCCGCCACTCACACTGACCTGACCGGGAGGAATCTTGCTGTGAGCTGCATCTCGTTTGGATCAGCAACACAAATTATATCAGCCCTCCAAGTGGAATTTTCAAAACCCAGGGTGAAACTGGAGAAAGGTAATCAAAAGGGACTTCCCTGGTGGTCCAGTGGTTACGACTCCACACTTCCACTGCCAGGGGCCCAGGTTCAATCCCTGGTCAGGAAACTAAGATCCCACAAGCTGCATGGCACAGCCAAAGAAAAAAGTACAAGTTTCTAGTAGTAAGATAAATAAGTCCTAGGGATGCAGCATACAATGCAATGACTGCAGCTGCATGATCCACAGGAAAGTTAAGACAGCAAATCCTAAGAGTCCTCATGACAAGGAGACATTTTTTCCCCATTTTTTAGTTTCTTCTTTCTTCTCATTGTATCTCTAGGAGAAGATGGATATCAGCTGAACTTTTTATGGTATCATTTCACAGTTCACATAAGTCAAACCAACCTGCCATTTGCCTTCAACCTAATACAATGACGTATCCCAATTATTTCTCAACAAAACTGGGAGGGGGCAAAAGCCTTTTTGACTCCTGCCATTGCCTTGGTTCCTTTCACAGTAGAAACGTCATCCCTCCTCCAACCTGGTCATTCCTTCCACTGTCCTCCACACATGCACACACACATCTGTATCTCTCCACATTCACCTGTATCCTTCTCAACTGCTGATCCCCAAGAACAGTCAGAAGGTAGGGTGACTCTGGACCACTTCACGATTTCATTTGGTCTTTAAAACACTGCTTATGTGGGTGAAATAAGTACCATTATTCAATAATCCAGGTTGGACCCAGCACAGCTTCTGGCCCACATGCCACGCCCCATCAACATTTCCTATTGGACCCACAGGTACTAGGAATGCCTCTAGTGTTCCTTTTCTTCACACTTCTTCTGTTGAAATGTCCTTAAGAGCTGATGGGCTTGTTTTGGTTCCAGATTCTTTTCCATCCCTTTACTCCTCCTTTAGCCCCTCCCCTGACAGACAACCCAAGCAGCATGACCAAGCAGCATGAAGTAGGTTCCTAAAGTCAGTGTCCCAGCTTCCTCCACGCCAGCACACACACAGCCTTGGTTGTCAAGGCCAGAGAACAATTTTTCCCCCAGTCTCCTCAAGTTCTATGTATGTGTTCAGTTGCTCAGTTATGTCTGACTCTTTGTGGCCCCACACACTGTAGCCCACCTGGCTCCTCTGCCCATGGAGTTTTCCAGGCAAGAATTCTGGAGCGGGTAGTCATTCCCTCTTCCAGGGGATCAACCCAGGGATGGAACCCAAGTCTCTTGCATCTCCTGCATTGACAGGTGGATTCTTTACCACTAGCACCACCTGGGAAGCTCAAATTCTGAAGTGCCTCAAGTTAAATAAAAAATTTAATGTAGGCTGTGAAGCCTATAATACCTCCTGAGGGCATGAACAAACAAGTCAATGCCTAACCAAGGTGACTGCCCATCCCTTCTCTTCCCCACTATCCTTTCCTCCCTGCATCTTGGGGTATGTGATTCCCAGGCTTTTAGATTTCATGGAGCTAAAACATTGAATTAATTTTCAGTTTTCAATTTAATTTTGATTTTTCGAATTAGCCACTGAATTTTTTTAAAGTTGCAAAAGAACTTGACCCTTCAAGTCTAGCCCTTGTCCAAATGAGATTCCTTATGCCTGATGTCATAGGCCAATTTATTTAAAGTCTGAATAAATATCAAGTCACTTTTGGCAGCAATGGGAGTTACCTACCATGCCGTCAGAGTGCCCAATGCAAACATGGTTACAGAGATGTTCTGTCTCTACACGAAGAAGTGAGTATTGTGAGTTATTTGTTTCCCTGGCCTAAAATGCCCTGTGCCCTGCTCCAGATCCTGCTGGCTATCAAAACTGAATTGAGGTCCCACCTTCTCACAGAGTCTTTCTAGCCTACTCTGGCTCTTCAGCATCTCTTCCGCCTCTGAATCCCACATGACTTTGAGTCCTTCAAGTAAGCCTTTAATTACAAGGCTGTCTTGTGTTGTTCACCACAGCGTCAAGCAGGTTATTCTGGTCTCCCAGTGTAGATCGAAGTGGGCAGGACCCATGTCTTTGTGTCTTTTACTTTTTCTGGGTCCTGCCCAAGAGAAGCATGTGGAGACTGAACACAAGGAGGGGCTCGAACATCCTTGCTGATGGGTTGACTAGATCTTTTCACCAATGGTCAGTCTTCATGGCAGTCTCCCTGTGGCCAGACAGTAATCAGCTTTCAGCACTGGATTCTGATACAGGAACAGGACTCTACTCTGACCTCAGGAAAACCTCAGTCCAGTCAACTGACTGTCTTCATAGCGTTCTAGGTGAAGTTCAAGGGGAAAGAGAGAGCAACTTGCAATGCATTGTACCACCTACCCAAACAACTAGAGTAAGATATGGAACCTAAACACAATGCAAGAAATAGAAAATGCTGATGGGGCTCAGAGGAAAAGAGAATTTTCATCATGTGGTCAGGCAGTGTCGACAGAGATGGAGACATGGGCAGAAGCCACCCAATTGTGGAAACAGTGAGGCCAGGACTCAAGTGTGGCCCTGTCGCCTGCTTACGCTATGACCTTAGCTACTATCATGCTTTTCAACTCATGGTGTGGTCGAGGTCACGGCTGACACCTTTGAACTTGGTACAAACTGACTCTCAGGCTCAACCCAAGGTCTCTAGAAGAGAATCTTCATTTTAATGAGTCCTAGTGAGAATCTGCATTTTAATGATGAGCCACCTATAGGTTAGGGTATGAAAAGACCATAATATGTGGTGACGGTTATTGCTGCCCCCAGGCTCCGCTTCACAAAGCACCTCCAGTTCATTTTGGAGGAATAACCTCTCTCTTGTGAATCGGTCACCAAGCCCTGGGGGCTTGGAGCTCAACTGATCAATGCATTCCATCATCCAGGCCACAGTGGCTGGTCCGCGGATGGGCATGTGGCCCAGGTCAGGCCATTCAGGGCCAATCAGATACAGCCAGGCTGGTGTTTGGTCACGGGGAAAGCTGGCTTGCTCTTCCCCTCAAGTTGAGGAGAGAGGGTGTGGGTTGTCACTCCTGTGAAGCATCTTATGACTACTGGGGACCTGAAAATGGACTGCGGACCATGTAGGGAGAGCAACAGAGAGACAACAACCCCTTATGGCGATCTTGCAAGACTGGGGGGCAGGAACTGGGTCTAAGAAGTTATTTAATTACATGACCCAATAAATTCCCCATTTTCTTGAGTCAGTTTGGGTTAGATTTTCTGCTACTTGAGAATAAATGAGGCAGCATGTTGAAAGCCTCCCACGGAATTGGTCTGCTACTGCCATGGCTGTGGTCCTGGCCCCTGCAGTGATTGCTATGGCAGTTGAACT